TTCCAACTTTTGCATCGGTTGGACAACAAACTCATCATGTTTCTTAGACGTTAAAAAATCTTGTATATTTTTCTAATAAAGTTTGTGGCGCGTTTACCACAGTGTGATTTCCTCTTTTTCAATCTACCGCGTTTATTCAATTTTCGAAAGTTTGGGGTAATAAAATTGAGTCTTGCTTATTAAAAAATAATTAATTGCCCAGTTAAACAGCAATGAATCTTCGGCAGCGCTATGTTATATAAAGCACGAAGCGAGACCCATCTCTGAATCGTTGTGGTCAACTCATTATTGTTATAAAGCACCACTATCAGAATAAATGTAGTTCAAAGTTGGGGGCAAGTGTTGAAATAATTAATGAATCCACCTGTGAAAATAAGTTTGCATTATCGTGTAATAATGTAAAGTTTTCAATCATAAAAAACATCTAATTCGAATAGGGGTGATTTATGAGACGCAATAATTATTCGTTCGTCGTCTATTATCTCCTAACTATCAGTAAAGATTGACGAGCTCGGTCATGTCAGGTGCGTACTATCAGTGCAACCCAATCCTACAAATAGGTAATTTAGTTTTATTTAAACACGCCGATAATGGGATGCCATTTAACCATCCGAACACATGTTTACACATTTGATACATAGTTGCTATAGGATTAACTGCCTAGAAGATACAGGTATAGGTCATACAGCAATGCACAGAAGATGATACAAAAGCAAATAAATTCACACACCTCCATAACACGACGTGCTATCAGTGCTCGCACTATTGATGGAGAAGTATTGCCTGTAGCCAGTGCTCGCAGGAGAGGAAGAGGTAGACTGGCTGGGTTGCCGACTAGTTGTTTTATTACAAATGCCTTGAGTACAGGTTTATCTTTCAACGCCCCGCCAAAGGGGAAATCTTCGGCATCTTCACTAAACAGTCCATTCGCCAATGCATCTATAAATATATAAAATTACTAGCCTACAAATAGCGTACCAGTCCACTATTACATAGACCTGCATGGTTGATATTTCAGTGTGAAATCATGCGATGAACTACACCAGTCGTCACCCGGAGAAACTAGTTTCAAAAGACTATATAAATGTGCACATTTTAGTCTGGTCAAATGAACACGAAATTAGCTAATAGCCATTGTAATGTAATGCAAGCATGCTTTTTAAGCGTAACATAGTCTAAGCCAATAACACCCAGTACCCGGGAAGATAAGTATCATGTTAAATCAGAATAATTATTTCCTGCGTGTAAGACTCGGACCGATACTCGGTGTACGACATCAAATCATGTAGTTATGTATTTTCATATCACTTTGTCTATCATATAACATAAAAAGAGTGAACGCGTTTACATCCTTGGATTGAAACAGTTTACTAACCTGTAGTCAGTGCAAAAAGGCACATTAGTGCGAGTATAGACAGGCGAGACATTTTCAACCTTGCTTGCAGGGACAGACTGGACGAAATGTGCATACCCCACCAGCAATGGAATGCGGACCGATTGCATTCATAATCAGTGAGTCAATAGTCTGTAAGATAAGTTGTGTGCATATATTAACAGCAACATTGATGGAATACCTCCCACAGTTGGTGCCTAAATTACAAATAAGCATATTAATAACGTTAACCACGTTTACTTTTTTTATATAAAATCGATTCGAAACTGATTGTCAAGAGGTAACACCTACAAATGAAAGAATACAAACATGTACTGTACTCTATAATGCCACCGAAACACTACTCACAGCTCACAGGATGAGGTGACTGTTTACTAATTAAATGTTAAAATCGTCAATAGTTTCCCATTCCAATATTTTTCAAATTTATCCACATCTCAGGACATTTTATATTGTTTCTATTTTTTATATTATGTAAATTTGATTTGGGCTTCAACACCACAAGATTGTATGAATCATCATATACTGATATTGACAAAACGTGGCAATGTACTTCAAACATTTGATCAGATAATTACTTCCAATTTTTATTAAAGCTCACATCGATCGGTTACGTAGTTCTACATTGTGGATTAAATAAAACCCGGGTGTAATTTTTGTTATAATTGTAGGGGTATACAATTTGAAATTGTGGCACATTTACTACCAATTTCATGAACACAAACTTTAGTACCCGTACAGGTTTTGCCACGCTTTTCAGAAAATGACATAAATAATGTTCTTCAGAACCTATTCCAACAGTGATCAAACATTTTATTCCCAGCATATATATGTAATAAGTGAATTGTAGACTGACAAACCCATTCTGATGATCATCTGGTTTCGTCGCCTTGACAGCATGTGATACGAGATCTGATCGAATTAAACTGTACATACATTATAACCTTTTCAATGCAGCTCAATGCAATTGTGGTGGGTGCTGAACTCGGGCAATCTACCTTTCTCCAAAAACACTCTCTAAAACAATTTCTGGTAGTTATCGTGGATGCAGATTGTATGTCTGTGATGAGTGCATCCATAGCACATTCACTATGTCAATTTTCCTTTACAAACATTATGTAGACCTTCTCATATCAATGACGAAAATCGTTCATTACAAATTGTACACGTTTCCATTGAGTAGTAGTGATTTTTGTGTCGCAGTTAGAGACAAGTACAGCTGACAGTTAATAAAGTAAAAAAGACCTATCACGTTAAACTATGGGACCCTGCAGGTAGGCCGGTCACACCGGTTCTCACCACAAGAGGTCACGAACCCCCCAACCAATCCCACAGCAGAAATAAAACACACAACATTTACTTAAAAAATACCACTGTACACGGTTGTTAGGACAGAGCTTTATTATAAAATATAGGCAAGGAAATTTATTGCGCTGGTTAAATATTGAAATCTACGTGGCTTTTTAGCCATCCCTTCGATGCTCACTTGAAGCAATGATACCACTGTACATTGACTTGATGTGCGGCGGAGCTTGGCTCTGGCCACCCCACGGAGCAAACTTGACGCCAGGTACAAAAGCACCCATGTATCTTCTCAAAGGACGCCACCCGACCCAAGAGGACCACACGGAAATCAAACTAAAAGAAGTAGCACCGATAATAGAAAGGAGACAGGTTTAAAAACAATAGTGTAGTTTACAACCATCGCGAGAGCACAGTGCTTTGTTTACTGCTCATGTATTGTCGACTTTTTGTAGTTTGTCACTGAATTCACAAAAGTCGATTTCCATACGGAGGCGTGCCTGAACAAGCCCAATGAAAATGTGTAAGGGGTTGAAACATCCTTAATTTTGACGTTTGTTGCGGCGTGACAAGTGGATTGCACCCGCCACCGTAAAATTAAATAGACACTATGCCTCACTCGATGTAAATACACGTGATTGAGGTGGAGGAAGCATAACAAACCCCCATGGAGGGATATCATTATGTGCGTGGGTTAGCTTAGCAGTTATATTTTTGAAACGGATCAGAAAGTCAGATATACCGGGGCAGTCAAAAAAGATATGCTGCAAGGAATCCATTTCGCCACATAAAAGGCACGCTCTGCTAGTCGATAGCCCCGCACTAAAGAGTAGCCCCGCTGTGGTATATGCACCGTGCATGATACGCCATTGTAGGTCACCATTAAGCTTGGTAACTGGCGGATCGTAGCAAGCCGCAAAATTAGGTCGTGTTTGAACATCAAGAATATCCATCCAAGGACTAACCATGCGCGCTGGATGCTCAGAAGAAAAGCGAACATTAACGATATATTTGTAAATAACCCCCTTTTCCAACTTGTATAATGGCAACATAAGCGGATCCGAAAAATAGAGATCAAAGATGTAATTTGATCGGTCATAAACAAGTGGTTGTTCATCGGTAAGAAGAGAGTTGAGAGTTTAGTCGTTAAAGATGGGAGTAGTGCATCATGAATGGTTCTCAATTTAGTGTTTAATATCGGTTGTGAGTGTATATTAATTATATCTGAGTAATCCCGACCCACGCGCCAGGCTTTAGTATGTTCCTCGATAAGATCAACCACTTTGGTAATGCCTGCCTTCACAAACTGATCAAAAAATAACGGTTCTTGGTTAATAGGGTTTAGAAAATACGGGGATTATTAAAGATCGGTTCACTGAATACATTATTTTCGTTGTAGATCATGTCCCTGCGATGTTTATCCAAGCTTGATCAGAAGTGGAGAGTTTCACTATAGTATAAGGGCAAAGACTCAAGAGATGTAGTTATGTTGGTTACAATCAGTTGTTTAGGGTAGCGCTGTAGATATTGAATCCGCATTGCGAAGATACGTGATTCAATGTGAACAATATTCTGACCAACCCTCTCCAAAGGAAGGTAGAGAACGTCTGCAGGTAGCCAATGGCGTCCCTGCCAGAAAAAAATCATTCATTAGATTTTGGATGTATTTGACAGTATCGTGAGGCAAAGTGAGACCAGTGATCAAGTTTACATTCGATCTTTTGGACGAGGTCAATCCAGTTTTTGTTAACGAATGCCTCGTCATTCACAAGGTATAACCCCAACAGTTTAAGGCCAGAGTTGTTCCATTTAATTTGCAATGGTGAGTCCACACGGTTACGCCACGCCCCCGCCCACAACTCTTTTGATTTTTCTATGTTGATACGAGTATTTGTAGCACGTTCGTAAGTATTAATCCATTTAGCGAGTTCATTAAAATCCTAGTTTCGTGTATAAAGCATTCTAAATCATCGCAGTAAGCTGTCAATTTAGTATTATAGCTTTTGGCATAAGGAATTGTAATCCCCTGCATATCGCTCTTGCGAATTTTATCCAGCAGAGGTTCTATGTCCAAAACATAAAGTTGGGCAGACAGTGCACACTCCTGTCTGATACTTCTTGACAGAACAATGGATGCCGTGAGTGTATCATTAATACGGATTAAGGACTGAGGGTAGTTGCAAATCAAATTTATATAAGAAGTAAAACGTTCCCCAAAACCAAAAGCTGACAACATGTTTGTAAGATAATCATGATGCACTCTATCAAAAGCTTTCTCTTGATCAATTGCTACAAGACCAAGCGGAGAATTACTGGAATTTGCAATATCGATACTGTCACGAAGCAGGTGTCATGGATATGGCGGTTAGGTGCGCAGCAAGTCAATGACATTGCGCAGGCGTAGTGACAGGCATTTAGTTTAGATCTTGTAATCACTGCAAAGCAAACTCACTGGGCGCCAATTTTTTACATTAGTGGTGTCCCCTTTTTTGGGAAGCAACGTGATTACAGCACGTATAGAAGACAATGGAAAGTTACCATCACTTATTGACTGGGTGATGACATCAAAAAGATCTTTTCCTAACACTGGCCACATTGTTTTATAAAATTCATTAGGCAGCCCATCGATGCCTGGAGTGCGCCCTCTTGGGAGCATTTTATAAGTGTTGGTCAGCTCTTCAAATGTAATTTTCAGTATCAAGGTCAGCCCGGTCACTGTCGCTGACCTGGGGCAAATTTTTTAAAATGTTATCTTGAGCCTAGTTATCAATACTTTGCTGTGTATATAAGTTTTTGTAAAAGATATTTACAATTTCACGGATTTCCCGTGGACACTCAGTGACGCTACCATTCGGGCGCTGGAGCTGTAATATCGTTTTTCTTTTTGTTTTTCAAGATTAAAGAAAAAGTAATTACAGATGTCACTTTCAATAAGGCGTTGGTGGCGCAAACTTGATTCCCTTGATTCAGTACGTGTCAGTTGCATGAGTAAGTTTTTTTTTTCAGTATATGTCTGATTAAGTTTATTGTCTCTCTTATTTTGACTTTGAATATATTTAATGTGATTTCCAGTTTCCCGTTTAAGTTGCTTATGTTTCGAGTATTTGTATTGAGACTACTCTTGCGTTAGTAATTTGATTTTGTGTTTTCCAATATCCCAACATTGTTGGATTGTACTATAAGGCATACGTTTCGCTCGCCAGTTACCACAGAACTCAGTGATTAGATTAACATAATCCTCATCATCGAGCACATCACAATTCATGCACCAAACAGGATTATGGTTGTTAAGCCGCTTCTGTAGTATTTCAATATACACTGCAGCATGTTCTGAAAATGCCGCTGCTGAGTTATGGATGGATATTTTACGAATACTGTTGTTCATGTGTTTACTGATATAAAATCTGTCCAGTCTGGCAAGTGTATTCCCTTTCTCCCATGTGAAATGACTAGTGTTACCATACTTTTGCCGATATGCGTCTACCAGCTTAAAACGCCGCAAAATATTCTCAAGAATAGAGGCCGTACGAGGATGTGGTTCAACGCCACCATTACTGTCAATACCAGGTGAAATTGTACAGTTGAAATCCCTTCTCCCATAACCACAGGGTCATTGCTCAATGTATTCATGTATCGCTTTAATTTTTCAAAGCATTGGAGGCGCTCCATAGCTGTGACAGGTGCATATACATTAATGTTGTCAAGTTTAACATGTGTGTGTAATATGTGACCGGATATTACACTATTAACATTTAAAATCTCAACAATGGAAT